CTTGTCGTGGTTCCATTTGAGTTTACATTTGAAAGCTGCTTGTAACTGCAATTGACAAATTTGAATTGTGAAGAAGTGCAGTTTGGGGAATAGAATGGGGAATGGCACCATTCAGAAATAGAATGCAGTAGAGTGCGGTAATTGTAAAATATGCCGCACATACAAGCGTACGATTAGTCAGCTTACATTAATTGTTCTCCGCCTCAGTTAGTAACGAGTCACATTCTCAACTGGACAAGTACGAGACGATGCAGGACTTCGAATACCTAGAAGTGTAATGTTGGGATTCGAAAATGACATTTGTGGAGGGAAGATCCCTACTCTATTTATTAGGGGACTCGTGCTTGTGAAGCTTTTTCCTCCATTCGTTTGCTATTTGCGAGACATGCTTGTGACGATTACTTGAAATTTAAAACTTAGCCATTATGCTTCTGCAACCCATCACGGTCGCTCAGGCTGGTGCCCTAGTCTGCGATAAGTCGCGCGCTTCGCGCGAATCGCAGGAATCGCAAGTGCCCCATTGAACATTTGAAACACTGAATATGAAACAAGTAGAATCATGAACAGTCGTCATTCAACCATCACCATCAAGCAGAAATGATGGCGGGATTGGAGAGCACCGAGGATCAGAGTATAACCGGGACACTTGGGATTTCTGTGATCCGTCGTGCTATTCGCGCGACGGATCGCGGACTCTGACACCAGCCTTAGACAGGGACTTTATCATTAGAAAAATGGGATTTGGACCGACATCTTTTGTAACATTCCTCATAAAATTGGAAAGGATAAAAACTTGATGCTAGAATATGCGAAACGCAATCCTTTTACGTATAGTTTTTTGGCTAACAGTAGTCATGGAGTAGTGAAAAGAAATGCAGTAATACTGGCACATTACACTGGGATTGGGACGGTTAGTGAATATTGGAATTCAGTAGTATTCAGAGAAAGCTCTGCTGCATCTCGCAGGCGGACGAATCTGCGGTCCACCCTGCCTTTCCTCAAGAAATGGATGATGTGCCATGCAAGTTTTTCACGCATTTGTTAAGTGCAAGAGAAGATATCGTGGATGCTAGACTTCATTAGCTCCGATCGCATCGACTACGTGATTGATGCTTACGTACACGCACTGACTGCTGTTTACCCAAGGTCGCGGTATCAGGTCGGGTGGGATTGCATATTTGTGTGAGTTTTTCCTTTTTTTCACATTCATAAGCGAACTGTCACACAAAATAGATGCTCTGCTCCCATGTATTATCAGGTTGTAGGGAAGTTCTTGCCGTTCTCGACAGCACAAATTTCAAGGCATTTCTACTGACTTTTTGGAGGACTACTACCTTGCATATTACTACAAGGAAGAATCTTTGTCCTGTCCGAATTAATTGTCGCTTCCGCTTAATACCTACTGCTTCCACTTTTTCCCAGCCTTGAATACAACATGCTCAACAAGAAGATCAGCGTGACTTTCTTCTTCCGACTCGTTTCAGGGCAGAAAGGAGCGCTATCAGCTCATGATATACACTGGCGTGCAAAATTTAAGGTTGGGAGTAACTTTTGCATCATTTCTTACTGCTAGCTAACCTAGGTCGATGAAATTTGGACACACATAGAAGGAAATGTTGCAGCATAGTGCAGAGGTTACTGATAGAAACACGCAAAGAGCGATTGGAAAAGACACTTTTCTCAAAGACAGTGACTGAAGCGGTTAATGGGTGAAACTACTCAACTCATGGAGAACCAGAAGAGAGGGGCTGGTTTTTGATAGGGAGTATTAATGCGAAGCATGCTGTGCTCTGTGCCTCCATAACGGCCTCAATGTTGGTCAAGAGTTCTTGTGGAGAAGCGTTCCATTCCTCGAACATCCCGACTGACAATTGCTGGGCGTTATTGGCGTATGGATGTGCTATAATAGCTCCCTTGAATGCATGCCACAAGTGCTGTGAGTGGGGAAAGCGGACAGGCTCAACCAATCGCCGAAAGTCCTAGCGTTCCAAACTTTCCCATCTAGGCTGGATGCGCTTTGCACATTATCCTCCATAACTAATGAAAATGGAATCGAAGGCATCGCTGAAAAGATACACATAAGAGAGGTAAGCGTCACAATAATCTCGATCGGAAAGCATTCCGCGATCAGGAGTTGGGAGGTCAGGTACGCCCCTGCAACTTTATGCCTCCCCACACCATATCGAATGGACTATCAAAACATGTTGAACGATGGTCCTGGGTGCATTACATGTTCCTATTCTCGCCATATGTGGATAAGTCCAGAATCACTACCCACACTCAATTTGCTCTAAACTGAGAAGAGCACGCGTTCTCCAAATTACTGGTCCATTACCATTGTCTCGTTACCTAGCAAATATTCGCCGATGCGTGGGTTTCAAAGGGTCGGGTGCTGTCGGTCGGGTAGAGAGGCCATCCCTATACGGTCACTGTGCCACTGTTCAGCTGGGACCATGTGCCTTACAATTCTAATAAATGTTTTGCAACTGCAGCCTGTGACTGACATATGCCCATTCCAGCCTGTTGCAAGGCGTTGCAATCACCTGCAGAGCAGGGTGCAGAACGGCGAGATATTTCTTAGAACCTTATGAATATAGAATCTGTAGTTTTTTTTTCTTTGAAGGGGCCTATATCTAGTGTTCTCAGGTTCATCCCGTTGTCTATGCTTCCGACCAGGATTGCGGATCTCATTATGCAAGTGGTTACTGTGCTGACCGGTATTCC